GTTCCCCCGGGGACTCCAACACAGAACCCTCTGGTCCTGGTTCCCCCGGGACTCCAACCCAGAACCCTATGGCAGAAAGGTCCTGGTTCTCCTCTGGACTAAGGGGACTCCAACCCAGAACCCTTTGCCTGTGAGGCAATGTTGCTAACCACCACACCACCATTTTGCCTGTATGATAATCAGGTTTTGATATTTCTGTGGATCATGTGGTGATGTTTAATATTGGGTTCTCCTCTCTGGACCTGCAGGTCTTCCACCAGCCTCCGGACCCCAACGTTCCTCTGCCCCTGCCCCAGAGCCGGCCGGGTTCTCGCAGGAACCGCGCCATCTGTCTGACCAAAGGGCCCCGCAAACCCCGCAGCCTCTACCCCCCCACGCTGTGCCTGGCCGACGCAGAAAGTGAGTACCAGAAAAGAAAGCAGCTACCAGAGCCGATTCTTTAGCTGGAAACCCGAGAATAAAACAAAATAATTGACATTTATTGGGTCACAGTTAAGTATACAGTGGGGGAAATAAGTATTTGAGCCCTTGCTGATTTTGCAGGTTTGCCCACTTACAAAGAATGCTTATTTTTCCTCGTCAGATGGTTATCAATTTTTATAAATTCATATGATGTGATTTTCTGGAATTTTCTTTGGGATTCTGTCTTTCACTGTTAGAATGTACATATGATTAAAGTTATAGATCGTTGCATTCTTTGTAAGTGGGCAAACCTGCAAAATCAGCAAGGGGTCAAATACTTATTTCCCCCACTGTAATCTTGACTTATAGCATAGTAATAAATATTTAATATCAAAAATGTATTTCTGTTTTTTCTTTTTACATATTTTGTTAAAAGGGCAAACAAGGAATTCAAACCAAAAAAAAAAAGTCATTTTCTGTTTTGTTTTATTCTTGGATCAGGCTTTAAAGGGATAAAAGCAGAAAAACAAGAAAAGAAAAATAATCAAAATTAGACAGATGAAAAGTGAAGGAACGGATCAAATACGTTCAATTTCTGTTTTGTTTTATTTTTGGATCGGGCTTTAAAGGGTTAAAAGCAGAAAAAACAAGAAAAGAAAAATAATCAAAATTAGACAGATGAAAAGTGAAGGAACAGATCAAATACGTTCAATTTCTGTTTTGTTTTATTCTTGTATCGGGCTTTAAAGGGTTAATTAGCCTGCTTCCATGCTATTGGCCATTAGCAGGTTTTAATGAGGGCTTTTCCCGCCTCCCTCCTGGTCCCTGCATAGGCGACACCCTGAGCAGCAGCCCCTGCAGCACCCCCATGGGCAGCCTGGAGTCCCTGTCCTCCCACTCCTCCGAGCAGAACCCCTCCTCTAAACCAGGACCCCCCCCCACCGACCCCAGGACCCCCGTGGGGGTCAGCAGCCCTGAGTCCAGCTCCAGAGAGGAGGCCAACCGGACGGATGTGGAGTCTGAAGACGCCCTCAGCCTGTCGTCAGTCAGCACCACCCCCAGACTTTCCCCTAAAAAAGCCCCCAAAAAAGCCCCCCACAGCCGGGTCGACCTCCGGGCCGCCCCCCCCCCCCCGCTCCACCTCCCCCTCCCTCAGATCTCTGCCTCTGTCTGACGGTAAGTCAGAAATTAATCAAAAACTATCAGAAACTGCAAGCTGAATTAGTTTTGTTCAATCAATCAATCAATCAATCAATCATTCAATCAATCAATCAATCAATCAATCAATGTTTATTTTTGTCCTCCTGAGACCCAAAGAAAAAAAGTGTCTTCAAATTTCTTTTTTGTTGTGATTTTCCATGTATTTGGACCTAAAAAAGAACATTACAATTTAAATTTAATTTTAATTTCATAGTATGTCCACTGTGGAGGACAACTGGACGATTTGCATGGGAAAATAGAACAGGCTTTAGATAATTAAATAATAAAACTCCAGATACTTAGGGGGGGTACAGGTGGACAAAATGTCCACTATAATGGACATAAACGAATGGGCCGGGTCTCTGGAGGATATAGCACTTTTAACAACCGGAGCTGATCAAAGTGCTTTACACAATAAAAACAGATCAAACTATCGAAATACACAAAGACAAACACATCGGTGACAGAACCCAGTATACAGAGACCCTACATGCAAAAACTACAATCTGATTTAGTTTTGTTAGATTTGGTTCTTTAGTTGGAAGCCTGAGAATAAACCGGAGTAGTTCAAGAGTAAAAATATGACATTTATTGGTCACAAGCAGAGTAAATCAGTGTTGGCTATAACCTCTGGGCCTCGAAAAGTGAGGATGGCTGGGCGTAAGCGAGTGTTATTGGTCAGTTAGCTCTGACCTGAACAGGCCAGGTCCTAATTCATGCAGGTTTCTGTGAAATATGATAAGAAAGTGTGGATGTAGAGCTTGAAGTCGAGTATCTACTGTAACAGAGAGAGTTTAACTTAAAAGTATAACTATAAAGGGAATAATATGAATCTAAAAAGGAATAACACAATCAGTCATTTACATGGATTAAGTAGTAGCATGCTATGCTAAAGTGAGTAATTATAGCCCAATTCTAACAGTTTCCTGTCGGGAGTTAGTGGTTTTATTGTCGTGATGGAAGATCTAGAGCTTTCCGAGTTGCTCTTCAAATAACATCACTCAAAATAGACGTGCAAAATATAAAGTTTTGTGTTTCTTTTGTTCATTTCTATTCTGGCCTCTGCTTTTTCGGTATCACAATGTGGAGTCTTTGTGTCATTTAGAAGGAGGCACAAGTTATTCTGATGTGTGTTTCGCCCTGAAGGACGCAGGAGCTGCTCTGGATCTGCTCAGAGTTTGTCCACCCTGGAGTCCAAAGAGAGTCTGACCCCTGCAGGACATCCAGATCTGCCTCCCAAACAAGTGATCCGCCGCCGGATGGACACCTCCGTCGCCAACGGTTACCAAAGGCCCGGCTCCGTGTAAAGAACTCTCAATAGCATGTTTCCCCACTTATACAGTGGCCCACTTATTAAGAATGCAACGATCTATAACTTTAATCATATGTACATTCTAACAGTGAAAGAC